AAGCATTTTATTCATTAATCCTCTTAACAACCCTGCAAGACTGATACTATTATTAGCCTCATTTTATGGTTGATAAAAGTGAGGTCAGGAAGATTAATTAACCTGCCCAGGGTCACACAGTTAGTAAGTACTAGAGCCAAGATTTGAAACCAGAGTTTGTGTTTGTGACCACTATGTTGTACAGGTAATGATAACCATTGCAGGTGTTGTTTATGTGTGGAATTGGGAAAACCCCAGACATCCAACATCAGAGAAATGTTTTTAAAAATAAATAAATAAACCAAAAATAGGGTATCATTCATCCACTTAATGATGTAGAACAGTTAATAACAAAGAAAAATTTGTTCAATATAGTGTTAAGAAAAAAAATTCAGGTTGAGAAATTTACTTTAAAGAGGTATGTTGTCCAAAGTGTTAACAATGGTTACTACTATGTATTACAATTATAGATGACTTATTGCTCATCTGTATTTTCTAAATGTTCTACAACAAATATATACTCCTTTTACAACAGAAAAAATTTCCCAGCCAGCCAAGTATGTATAGATTTAGTGCATTTGAGGAAAACAAAAAGAGGAAGATTATTCACTTAAATTTCATCAAAGACCATGTCAGGTATTTAGATCAGTGTTTTCCAAAACAAGTTTAACAAAACATTCAGTCTATACATACCAACCACCACCAAACAGGGTTCTGTAGTCAAATACATGTGGGAAACCCTCAGTCAGACAAGTTTGTTGCAGGACTTCGCAGAGCTTTAATATGCCAATATACATTATGAACGTCAGAGTGGGGAGGGGAGACAGTATATAGCAATTCTCAAATTCATTTGAGTACAGAGCTCTCTTTTCCCCCAGAGCATCTTGAGGGAAATAGCATTCCTAAGAACAAATAGAAAAGAGAAGCAGCAGCAGGACTGTTGGAGGAGGTTAAATCCAACTCAATGTTTTTGGGGAAAAAAATACAAAAACATGGTAACTTGTAACAGAAGCAACAAGGACTTGGGATGACTTTTTTAGTTATTTAAGAAAAAGAAAAGATGCTAGTAATAGAAGGAAGGCATGGATGGGGGAATCTTGTGTGCATATCTATTCCCTGAGCTCATTCCCTTTCAGCGGTCCCTGGAGTGGGCTACACCAGGCAGAATAAGGCCTGGTAAGAGACTCTTAAATCGGACTCATAAATCAGACAAAGGACACAAAGCCATATGCAAAGGAACTAAATGAGGAACTTCAACAGTGTCTAGGGAATGCAACACAAATTCTTTAGTCACGAGAGAACCATGCCCATAAGCATGAGCATCAGCACTGCCCAATGCCTAAGAGAGCTACAGGCAGAGCTTCCAGGAAATCTGGCAGAAAGCCTAATAAAAATTGAGCAGTAGAGCACACGACAAATTTAATTTAACTTGGTTTTTAATGCCAAAGCCTGGGCCCTGTAGAAAGGAGAAATGAGAGAACAAACACAGAATCAGATAGAACTTTTGCTTTATTAAAAGTAGTTCAATCCCCCACTCAACAAACACTTCCTTGGCTACATGCCATTTTCTCTGCCTAGAAGGCTTCTCCCTATCCCCACTACCCTTCATTTCTTTAACTCTTACTTGTCCTTCAAACAAATTCAATGCTGAAAGGGCAATTCAACCTTTTTCCCTTTTAGGAAGCGGGTCTTTCCTCACGTTCCGAGCTTAAAAACATTACTCGGCTTTTCTTGTAGCGCCACCTTTTAAAGCAAAAACAAAATAATTCATTGTTTACCCACCAATCTGTTTTTTTTCCAAGACTTAATGTTTTCCTCCTTCATAATACCTATTTGCTCCGTAGAAAGATTATTTTCATTAACCTATTTACATTTTTTTACTTTGTAATTCCACCCACTCGTTCCAGGGCCTAGCCAGTGCCTCTGGGCATCTTTGATGAATGAATAGAAGCACCAATGAAGTTTTTTTGCATGTGCTAGGATAAAAAAGGTACACATGAAAAAAGTCCACCTTTGCCGCTCAAGAAAGCGCTCATGAGCTTTACAGGCAGGAAAAAAGTTTGAGATAAAATAAGATTTACAACAGGATTGATTGTTAGTAATAAACGCCACATGTCATCAAGTTAACTTTCAGAGGGCTCTCTGGTAGCGAAGGATGTGGTACATAAGACTTTTGGAAAAGAGAAAAACATTTTTTCAGTGCCCCTTGCAATCAGTTGCTTCTTACAAAAACAAGCTCTTCCAAAAAACGAGGGCACAACTGGCCCTTAAACCAGAAAACAGCCCCCACTGAATACAACCATTTTAGCTCAGAGAAGAATTGAGTATTAAATTTGTGGCATTTTGTTTGTTTCGTTAACAGAGTTAAAAACAGCATTTAAAAAACTAGATATTATCTTCATTTATTTGTCGTATCTTGCCAGGCTAATTCAAGACCACAGAGATTTGAAGGAGGGCGAGGCCAAAAAAGAAAATACATGACAATCCAAAAACAAGATATTTATAATTCTTGGCAATTTGTCTGTTATGTTGGCATTATTTGCTTTGAATTATTGATTTTCAGCAGGCTGGCTTTCTTACTTGGCAATCAAGTTTTATGAAAAACAGGGAACCTTGCCTGTAAAACATAAAAGGGATTTCTTTTTTCCCTTGTGATTAATTCGACTAAAAAAAAGAATTAGGTATTTAAATAAAATTAAACAAGATTTCTGGCGTTAATTTTCTTTGCCTTTTTTTTTGTAAATTTAAAAAATTAAATTTTTTATTTCAGCTATTACAGCAGTTTTACAAAATGTTTATGGTTTTCCAATTAATTGCCCTTGCTTTCCCATTCCAAAGTCAAAGAGCCTTGCAAGTGTGTTTTCCGATCCCAAAGAACGGTGCGCCATCCACGCCCCGACTAGTTGGGTGCAAATACCATCCCCTCCTCTCCCTTTTCAGCCTGCCCAAACCTTGATTTAATGGTGTTATAAGTGTTTGCAACAATCGGGTGTTGTCAGTTAATTACTAAAAATTTTAATGGGTTGAAGTAACATTTTTGCAGTGCTTGTTTTTCCAATTCTTATGATTTAACTTCACTAAAAGAAACAAAATTTCAAAACAAAACCCCATTAAAAAAAGTGGGCAAAAGGAACATTTGAACGAGAAAAAACTTTTCAAAACAAGAACAGAATATGGCAACAAAAAACATATGAAAAAAAAATGGCTCAAAACTCTCTTAAATTTCATCAGCGGAAAAATTGCAAAATTCAAAAAACCACGAATTGGAGGAAAACAATTCACTTTAAAAAACTTTCCAGTGAGAATGGGCTTTTTCATCAGAAAAAGTTCCCAAAACAATAATGTTTGCAGGTGGATGTGGAGAAAAGATGGCAACACTTCAGTACACTTTTTTGGCCTGGTGGCGACTGCCCAAATGTAAACAACCTCTGTGGAAAGCAATATGGAGATACCTCAAAGAGCTAAAAGTAAGACTACCATTTGATCCAGCAATATCATTACTGGGCATCTACCAAAGAAAAAAAGACAATCTACAAAAAAAGACATGTGCACTAGAATGTTTATAGCAGCACAATTCAAAATGGCAAAGAAGTGGAAACAACCCAAGTGCCCATCAATACATGAGAGGATTAATAAAATGTGATCTATATATACCATGGAGTTCTACTCACCACAAAAAAAAACAATGGTGATATAGCACCCCTTGTATTATCCTGGATAGAGCTGGAGGCCATTCTACTTAGTGAAAGATTCTGCTGTGAGACTACTGGAATTGATAAACAAATTCAGCAAAGCCTCAGGTTACAAAATCAATGTATACAAATCAGTAGCATTCCTATATGCCAACAACAGTCAAACTGAAGACCAAATCAAAGACTCAATACCCTTCACAATAGCAATAAAGAAAAGAGAATACCCAGCAATATATTTAACTAAGGAGGTGAAAGACCTCTACAGGGATAACTACAAAACACTGAGGAAGGAAATAGCAGAAGACATAAACAGGTGGAAAACCATACCATGCTCATGGGTAGGCAGAATCAACATTGTTAAAATGTCTATAGTATCCAAAGTGATCTACAGCAATGCAATCCCTATTAAAATACCAACATCATTTTTTGCAGATCTAGAAAAAATAATTCTATGCTTCATATGAAACCAGAGAAGACCCTGTATAGTAAAGGCAATCTTAAGCAAAAAGAACAAATTGGGAGGCATCGATTTACCAGACTTAAAGCCATACTACAAGGCTATAATAACTAAAACAGCATGGTGATGGCACAAGAACAGAGACACAGACCAACGGAACAGAACTGAGAACCCATATATAAAACTATCCTCATATAGCCATCTAATATTTGACAAAGCAGACAAAAACATACACTGGGGAAAAGAATCCCTATTCAATAAATGGTGCTGAGAAAATTGGATAGCCACATGTAGAAAACTGAAACAGGATCCACACCTTTCACCTCTCACAAAAATCAACTCACAGTGGATAACAGACTTAAACCTAAGACATGAAAACTAAGAATTCTAGAAGAAAATTTTGGAAAAACTCTTATAGACACTGGCCTAGGGAAAGAATTTATGAAGAAGACACCAGAAGCAATCACAGCAACAACAAAAAGAAATAAATGGGACCTGATCAAATTAAAAATCTTCTTCACAGCCAAGGAAACTATCACAAGAGCAAAACGCCAACCTACAGAATGGGAGAAAATATTCGCGTGCTATACATCTGATAAAGGGCTGATAACTAGAATCTATATAGAACTCAGTATTCCAGTAATTTAGACCATAAAAAAAAAAGAAAAAAAAAATAGAACTCAGGAAAATCAGCAAGAAAAAGCCATTCTGTCTTAATCAGAGTTTGAAAGAGGAAGCCAAGTAACTGAGAGTAGGTGGGGAGGAGTCAGAATTTCCTAGGTAGTGGTGTTCTAAATTCTGTTCTCAGCCCCTCATGAAGCTCACCCAGCAAGTTCCTTCTGAAAGGGCACAGGTAAGATAAGAAAAAGTACCTCCGCAGTTCATTCATAACCTTGAAAGCCTTCCCCATGTGGGCAGGGTTGACGGTGATCATCCTCTGGTTCTTCTCATCATCTCCAGCCTGTGTCTGGGGCTGGGAGCTCAGCTTGATGCTGTGAAAAAGAAGGAAGAAAGAGGGAAAGACATGATCACACATCAGTAAACCCATTCCATGCCTCCAAGTGCCACAAGTCCATGCACTTACCCACCCACCAGGAGCATCTCTGTCAGCCTGTTATCCTCACACCGACCCAGCAGGAAAGAAAATGTACTGAGTCAGGCATTTCTGCAGGATCTTCCAATGAAAAGTGCATTCCTCTAGAGAAAGGCAGGTCCTAGCTCAGTTTCTTCCACCAAGTACTTTGTGACTTTGTGCGAGGTCCTTATCCATCTCCAAAATTGAAGGGGACTGAGCACTGCATCACTCACTTCACAGAGATGTTTGTTCACTCAACAAACATTTAATGGAGGCTGCTATATGTACATGCCAGGCACCGTATTTAGATTGAAGGGAAACAGTGATAAACAAGGCACGTCCCTGCCTTCATGAAGCTTAGAGTTCAGTAGAGGGGAATGCCAAGTAAACATTTAAACATCGTATCTTTTAAGTATTACGATTCAATAGGTGCTACAGAACAGTAGAAAGGCAACTATCCCAGTGACGGCAGGTTGAGGGAAAACTATAAAGAAGCTGAGACCTTAAGAAAGAGCGGAAATTAGCCAGGTAAAAAGGAAGACAAAGAGTATTCCAGGCAGAGGAAATAGTATTTATAAAGACCTGGAGGAGAAAAAGAGCACAGTGTGTTCAAAGTACTGGCAGTTTAGTAAAATTAGAGAGCACTAGAGGAAACTATCAAGACAAAAGGTTAGAAGGCTGAGCAGTCTTATAAGTATCATATAAGCAAAGCTAAGGAGTTTGGATTTCTTTCTGAAACAATAAGAAGCCATTAATGGTTTTTAAATAGAGAAGTAGACAGGAAGCAGGTAAATAAATTTGTGCTTTAGAAACATCATATTGGCTATGGTGTAGAGAACAGTGGCATAAGAGTGAAAGCTTCTGGGAAACCACAGTCCCATAGAAAGACAAGGGATTGTAATTATTACAGAAGGTAGTGACTAGCAAGTGTCACTCATAAGCTCAATGCCCTCTGTACTGAAATCAAGAGACAAAACATTCAAATCCCTATGGGGTACCAGCTCGCTGCCCAACTACTCCTGAGCAATATGTATCAACTTTATGAGAGGTAGAAAGGAGGAATCAAAAGAATGAGCCAGGACAGGACTTTCTCTCCAAACTGGTGACACTATTCAGCTCCAAGGTCAAGTCTGAGACCTTGGAGTTACCTCTGTTTGGATCAGGCTAAGCTTTGTTTTGCTGGTAGGAAAACAGGATCTTCCCCACTTGTGTAGATTTGAGGACCCACAGTTCACTCCAGCCCTAGGACACTCAGAGTAGTCTTCTTTGACCTTCCATAGTGGGCCTCTGTCCACGCTACCACCTAGCCTTGCAAACTGGCCAGAGAAAAGGGCTGCTACGGTTAAGAAAATATTCCAGAGGCCTAAGAATCTCTACAGATCTCACATTGGGATTCATAACTATAGGGACATTCAAATACAACCAGCATGACAAACCTACAGCTTGTCTGACCATAACAGACTCCCCCTTTGGCTTCCTTCCCCACCTTCAGTTCAGCATGTAAATGCAAGCCATGGACGTCTGAAGTTTGAGACTGTTTGGATTCTGGGTACAATGAAATTAGCTGAGCAGAGGAATATGAATATCAAAAGAAGAACAAAGGAAAATTATTACACTCGTATGTTTAAGCAGGCAGAGAAAAACTCAGGCCACAAAACGTGATCAGAGAGAGGAAACACCCAGAAAAGATGAAAAATGTCATGTGAGAAATCCCACAAGCATAATTTCTTTTATAGTTACTGTCTTTCCTTACTCCAAGGCCAGAGAGCAAGAAATTAAGGAAAGAACATCTAGCAGGCGTCCTCAAACTACGGCCCGTGGGCCACATGCGGCACACTGAGGACATTTATCCAGCCCACCGGGTGTTTTTGCCTCCGCTGCCTGTCCTGCTTAGCAGCCAATTGGTCCCTGGCCCACAGTACACATGTGTGGAATGTGCGCCGCACTCTCCAACGTCCCTCCAACGGGGGACAATGAACTGGCCCCCTGTTTAAAAAGTTTGAGGACCCCTGATCTAAGGGCTTGGAGAAGTTAAGAATCTTGATCACACAAACAATAAGGGGCAGAAATGGGATCTGGGCTCAGGTGTCCTTGACTTGAAGCTCAAGCTATTTCTACAACGGCCTACACCCTCCAGCAATATAGTGCACGAACGTACATAAATGCACATACACATTCACATGCCTCAGCCTAGGGTCACATGCCCAGGCACAGAGTTGCTAGATCCCATCATTTCCTCCCCTACACTTTTCTCCCTCCATTCATTCTAGATCTTCACTACTTAGTCCCCAACAGATTGCCCTATCTCCACCCTATCAAGGTTCAATGCTCAGCATCCTCAGTTCTTGATCCTAGATAAGGCTGGGGAATCCTCTCTCCCCACTTGTGAAGACCACATGGAGATATAATCTCACTCTGTTGTCCAGGGACTAAGACTATACTTTTCACTCTACTCAGACCCAGCCAAAATCAATCTTTCTTTCTTTCTTTTTCTCTCTCTTTCTTTCTCTCTCTCTCTCTCCTCTGTGTCCTCCTCCTCCCTCCCTCTCTCCTCACTCACACACACACACACCCACCACACACACACACACACACACACACACACACACAGAGTTCTCTAGGCAGACTTAGCCACAAAAGGTTTTCTGTTGAAAAGCGTACAACAACAAATGCCCTTACTCGAAGCACAAAGTGGCTGATTTCTCCAAGAGCAAAAACTGGTTCCAGCCCCTATTAAAACCACACCAGGCTTCATGAAATCCCCATCTAGTCTAATTGAAGTGATTTAGCCTTCAGGGTTTCACAATCTCACAAGAGGTATGCAGCCTACCAAACTCCCTCCACAGTTGACATAATTATATATACCCCTCCCACCAGACCTGAAGCTCTAGCTGCTAAACAAAGAAGCTTTCATCTGCATTCCAATGTCCAGGGTTCCAGCAGTAGTATTCAAGTTAAGCCATGCTGATTCGAATGGGTCAACAATCACAGATGTAGGGAGAAAGTATAGGCCAGGCAGAATCTTTGTTCTTTCCTATAGAAATATACAGAAATGATCATCTAAGCCATTTTCCACGTTTCCCACACCTCCTCCTCTTTCTGTATTCTCTATCTCAGAGACATGACCCACTACCCACTCACCAATCCAAGCCAGAAACTACTATAAAGGATGTCATCTTGCTATCTTCTTCCCGTTGTCTCTTACACCCCTCACATACAACCACAAGTCCTACCAATCCTAAGTCCTTTAATGTCTCTGCACCTCTTTCCCTTTTCACAGTCACTATGACCACAACTTCATTCCTGGGCATGATACTCTCTTGCCTGGATTATTATAACAACCTCCTCCTAGACTCCAGAGTGACCTTTCCAGAATATCAATGTGATTGAGGCATGTCCTACATGAAGCCTCTCACCCATTCCTCACTGTATTCAGAATCAATCTCAGAGACCTAGCCTGGTTCTTCATAATCCCATTGTTGCCCTGAAGACTTCTCATCACTGTAGTACTAAAATACTTGCAATAGCCAAAATACACCAGGCTCTTCTGCCTTGTGAAGTTTTGTCTGCCTAGAAAACACTTCCTCTCCCCACCCATTCTCTCCTATGTCTAGCTAGTTCCTACCAGCCCTTCTAGCCTCTTCCTGGAAATCTTCCCTATCATTCTCCACTACCCACTAGATTAGCTTCCCCTCTTTTGTGTTCCCACATTATTCTGTGCTTCCCTCTGTATTGTGTTCTACTTATCTCTTACTTTTCTATCTCCCCTATACAGTGTGTGCTGGTAAATGTTTAACAGTTGGCTGGGGGGAAGGGAACCCTGATTTGTAACATTTGCCAATTTCCATGGTATAAATACTCCCACCATGGCAGATTTCAAGCTACCAACCTGAATTACTGAACATAAGATTTGGGAAGAGAAAGCAACAGCACACCATTACAATAAGATACCTTAGAAATAGAAATGACTTCAAAGGCCTATACAATAGTAAAATAATAAGAAGTGATGAGTTTTGAATACTTATTACATTTGTTTATATAACTCATTTATAAGTTATATAATTTAGTTCTTAACACTGGCTCTATTTAATAACTCAAAAAATTCCTGAAAATTTAACAAGCAGTTTTTCCAAGTAGGCGAGTGCTGGCTCCAGCACACCACTTGCCCCTCTAGACTGTGAGCTCCGTGAGAACCAAGATGGTGTCTTACATCCTCTTACACCCCTCTGTAGTCTTAGGCCCTGGCACATGATAGGTGCTCAATAAATAATTATTGAGTAAATTAATGGGTAGATAAGTAAATGAGGTATAACTACTGACTACTGTAGCTTTTTTCATTTCCCTCATTAAAATAATTATGGCTTTGTCCCTCTCAACTTCCTCTCCTTTCCCCCACTCCATGGGGGGCAGACTTCTCAGCTAATCCAGTCCCCTGAAACTGGTGATAAGAATCAGGAGGATGAGGGTAGAGGAAAACCAGCAGCAACTAGAGAAGGGAGAAGAAAGCGAGAAGGGTGGCTGCTTACTGTGTCCGTTCTTAGGCCCTTTCCAGTGCTGAAGAAATTCCAGGCAACAAATGGAAAGGAAAGGACACTAAAAAACATGACAGAAATACAAGAGACAGAAAAGTCCCCGAGCAGGTGGCTTATACAGAAGTGTTTGGGGGAATCTAATGAATGAGGAATTCCAGAGCATCCAATGTGTGAGAGAATGAGCAAGGAAGGAAAGGAGGGCCTGAGAAATGCTACTGAATGTTATGAACTGTTTCTCCCTTAAAAATCTTCAAGAGATACAAATAAAGTTCAGAAGTCAGGGGCTAATACTGGTCACACACATGGAACCCAAGCACATTATGTTCAAGCTAGAGATGAGACAGAGTAAAGAGAGGCAGTCACCTAAGAAGGCAAAACAACTCTGAGCCAGAGCAAACTATGCTGAATGCATTCAAATCCCTCAACAAAGAAAGTATCATTTAGAAATGAATAACCAAAAACTAAGAATCAGACAGAGAAAGCCCTTGGTCCAACCCATCCCACACTATCTAGAAAAGAGTGTGATTTAATCATTAGATAGCATCATTTGCTTCAGCCTCAGGTCAGATCCCTGCTGTGGAGGAGCTTGAAACTTATAAATACTCAAATGCTATAACCTAGTCCCTAGTTCCCTATGCAGCCTTTTGACCAATTTGGCCTCCCCCATGTTGTCCCTCAGAAAGAAAGAAAGTCGTAGTAGGACCTCAGGAATATCTTGCCAGCAATAGTTTTCACTACAAATTAATAAACTGATGATATGCTGACTACCATACTTTAGGTTCTCAAGACATCATCAGCATGACTCCGCTTCTCTAAGTCTGAGCAGCAATGGGACGCAAACTAGATAGGATTTCTGAACCTATGGAGCTCTGGGAAAATACTGCTAGTAAGTATCCCAACCCTAAAGTTCAAGACCAAAATGACCAAACTTAAGATTTCCACTTCTTGATTAAAGAAGGACCTGGTACTTGAAGATGTCCAGCCAGCAGGATTCAGGACTTAATGGCACAGTCCTACGATACAAGAAACACCATTTACACACAGGCTACCACACAGCCCCATGCTTTTCACACTCTTTCAACAGTGCCACCTTGGTTCATAGCACCAGGCTGACTCCCTGTAACAGACCACAGGGACACATAGAAGATATACATCAGTAAGCTACAGATCTCAGGTAGCAGTTAATAACAGTTAACACTGACTGAAAGTTGATAATAGGTTAAAGCACCTTGCCTCTATTATCTCATTGTATCTTTAGAACAACCCTATCTGGTAAGTACTATTATCTCCTGAGGCACTGAGGTAAAATTTGTCAAAAAGTCCCAATCACTATTAAGTACAGAAATTGCACTGAAACCCAAGTCTACCTGACTGCAAGGCCTGTGCTCTCAGTAACAATGTCCACTGACTTAGGACAATACCCACAGCCTATCAGGCCAAGGGCAGCCCAACCCCTTATTTCCCACTCTCTGAGGTTCTTCCCTGCGTGGCCAAACCAAGCCAATATATAGCATGACTTCATTCCACTGATTATGGGAAGTTGCAGTATGCAACTTATAGCACGATACAGCACGACTTCATTTCACTGATTATGGGAAGTTGCAGTATGTATTGGAATCAGTATTATTAATTGTATTGAACTTGGAGTTCAGTACATACATTCCATACTCCGGCCTTCAGATAAACCAATCATGATTCATCAAAGCTCACCAGGAGCTGCTGCCATTTCTGTAATATGTTTCTTTATAAACAAGCTCTATTACAGGTTGTTACTAATCACATTCCTAAAAGCCCAATTCACAGACTGCTTTCTTCAAAACTCAGGGAGAAAAAACTTTTAAATGGGCTATGTAAAACTCTAAGACATAAAAGACTTGAATTCAGACAGACAGAATCAGACAAGATGAGAGAAAGATGAAAAGAAAACACACCCCTCATTATATGGCACTTTGGAAGCCAACCTTATATTTGATTTGAATAGGACAGCTCTTGCATGTGTGGTTTTGATGGGCTACAATATACAATATACTTTCATAAATTAAAAAGAAATGTCCAGGAAAGTTGTGCTGACAGTCTACGAATCTTCATAAATTATAAAAAGTTAAAAATGTATAACCTGAAAGCCACTGGACTTATTTAACAAAAAGAAAAAATTTTTTAAAGCAAGTTCAAGCTATTTTTTACATAGTTTATGAATGTCTACTCCATTTTAACCTACTTTTAGGATTCATCCAGAAAGTTCTGAAAAATTAGGTCAGTTCTACGATGACAAATTTCATCCAAATAAAGTACTTGCTTTAGAAATCATACACAAAAGTTTTCTTGTCTGGATCTATCTTAACAATCTAAAACTTAGCAAACAAAATCCTAAAAACCAAAATGCGGGGAGGGGGGATGCAGGGAATCAAGAGGTTTCTTTCCCTGACTTTGTTTTTGCAGTTAGAAACCTTACTTCACCGAAAAGTATTTCCAAAATGGAAAATGTGGTTTCAATTATCATGGTTAATGTGCATGCACATCTGTTTCGGGCAGCAGTGATGTTCTAAGTCATGTATCCTCAGAAAATACCTGTCTGTTGCTCCTGGATCAAGGGTAAACAGAAAAGCTCCTTTGGCTCAGAAGCTCCCTGAGGTTCAGAGGCAGGCTCTGCTGAGTAAGAGCAGCCAGGACACCCCACCCAAATTCACCGCATAGTGCTGGGTACATGGTGCCCCTCTCAAGCAAGGACAACCCTGTACTTCTGATGAAGAAAATAAGCATAATTTTAAGAAAATTGGACAATCAACTACCCTTTTTTATGGAGCTTCTCCCAAAAGTTGTGGTGCTGGATAACTTGGCAGATCTGGCCTGAAGTTTCTTCTATTGTGGTAAAATATGTGTAACATAAAATTTGCCTTTTTAACTACTTTTAAATGTACAGTTCAGTGACATTAAGTACATTTCATACTGTTGTACAACCATCTCCATAATTCTTTCATCTTCCCTAAATGAAACTCCAAACCCACTTAATGACTCCCCATTCCTCCCTCCCTCCAGCCCCTGGCAACCATTTTACTTTCTATGAATTTGACTAATCATGTAAGTTGAAATTTTATTTTAATCCATCCACAAGGCTTTTTTCCAAAACTAAAATAAAATCCCAATAGCAAGGGCAACTGCCATTTTCAATGTCTACCTGTGCTACACACACGTTCACACAGATAATTTATTACTATAGTAGCTAAGAGCCAGAGAGCCTTTTCCTTTGCAAAACAAAAGACAAAGTCACCTTCTTCTGACTGAGCACACCACAGTGATGTCCCATGGAGGGAACTGGGGAAGACTTGGCATCAGAAAGTCCAGCAGAGAGCTGGAAATCTTGGGGGATACAGCAAGGGTGAATGCAAATTCACAAGTTCTTCTTAAGATTTTGGCCTGAACCAAAGTGTATCCAGCTCGTGGTTCCAAACCACTAAGGCAACTAGATGCCACAGGTGTCTATAAAAAGGAAGATTAAGGTAGATCTTGGTGAAACCTAAAAGAGGATGTGTCAAGCCCTATGAGGTATCTTACTATAAGGAGATAGTTCAAGTAAAAAGCAAGATGATGGCCTGATAAGCTCTCCCTAGTTTTCTCATGGAAATGGTCCCCTACAATCTGCTTCAGATGATAAACAGAGAAAAGCCCTAAAATATGTCTTGGTTAGTATCCCAGCAACGAGGCATAGGGTACAACATGGCAATAGATGGATATCAGTGATAACAGCAAGTACCATATACTGAGTACTTACTCTGTGTCAGAAAAAGTTTACTAGGTGCTTTACACATATTGTCTCATTTAATCTTCGCAACTCTGTGAAATATAGATACAGGTATTTCTCCCTTTACACAGAAGAGAAAACTTAGTTGTGAAAAATGTGACATACTCAAGGTCATATTGTTTATAAAGTAGATTCACTACTAGGTCTGTGTTACTTCAAAGCCCATGCTTTTAATTAATAGGCATTCAAGGTAGAAGGTATTTTCATACCCTCATGGCAAAGAAAGAAAACCGTTCATTAGAAAACTCTTGGCTGAAAATTTTTAATGCTTAAAAACAGCCCCAATTAAGCTTCAGCAGGTTAAGTGTGGAACAGGCACCAAATTCAGGATCTCTCCAGTCTCTGGAGGTTGGACATGTGATCCTAGGCCAGTCATTCGGCTTCTCTAGCCCTTGGTTTCCCAAGGAACTTGTAACACAGGGCTACTTTCCTCTGTTCTCCACCTTCCTCAAAGCATTCCATGGGGTCAATTACCCATGCTGAGATAATAAGGCTGATAACCAAGGATGAAGCTATTGACTAAAGGTTGCAACCTCCTCTCTCACCAACTTTCTTTTTAGTTGCCAGAATGTCTCACAAAAGTTGTTAATCAGCAAGTAACTATCCAGCACCTGTTTACTGTGCACCCATATAATATTCAAAAGTATTGTACAAGTCACTGTTCTTGCCCTTGAGGACCCGTCTCCAAGTTCAGGGACTTGTAGTATATATGAAATAAAAGCACAAAAAGAGTTGATGGGCCTATTATTCAGTACTCAACTATGGGATACAAACTAGCGGTATTAGGATTCAGAAGAACATCAGCCAGGACTAAAAACGTGGAGGTTTCCAAGACAAAGTAGAATATTAACACATTAACTGCCATGTGAGTTGTATTTAACTCACTCTAGTTTTGAGCCTGGGCCTCATGAAGCATATGTAACTCACATGTCTTTTCACCTTGGGAGCCACAAGAATTATTTTTCAAGTTGCATATAACCCATGCACAGGAAACAATAAAAAACAATAAATTTTTCATTAAATTAGAAAGGATCATTTTGTTTTCAAAGTTTTTATTCTATTTTCATAATAAGGCCCCAAGGAAAACATTTTTTTCCTAGGGTGGCAGCCAATGTGTTAAAACAACCTTGACAGGCCAGGTGCAGTGGCTCATGCCTGTAATCCTAGCACTCTGAGAGGCCCAGGTGGGCACATTGCTTGAGGTCAGGAGTTCGAAACCAGCCTGAGCAAGAGTGAAACCCCATCTCTACTATAAATAGAAAGAAATTAATTGGCCAACTAATATATATAGAAAAAATTAGCCAGGCATGGTGGCACATGCCTGTAGTCCCAGCTACTCGGGAGGCTGACGCAGTAGGATCGCTTGAGCCCAGGAGTTTGAGGTTGCTGTGAGCTAGGCTGACGCCACGGCACTCACTCTAGCCTGGGCAACAAAGCGAGGCTCTGTCTCAAAAAAATAAAATAAAATAAATAAAAATTAAAAATAAGTAAATAAAACAACCTTGACAGACAGGTAACTTCTGGGAAAGAGGAAAGGAAAGGCACCCAGCAAAAGGAACTCTGGGGGCTAATGCTACAAGGCTGAATGAAGTAATGCACGGGATGAGTGATCATGTCAGAGACCAAAAGAACTCTTAGTGAGTTATGAGTGAGCAGTAGAAATGGAGATGGGAGCCAGAATTCAGAAGACTTTAATGCGGCATGGTGAGTTGGATTTACAAAAGGTAGTGAGCTGGGTGACCTGGTGAATACTGAAAGCTGCTCAGTTTGGATTTCTTGTCTACTTTCTACCTCCAGTAGAGGAAAAGCAAAAGAACATGAGCAATCAAGTGTTCTAAAGCCATAGACACAAATAACCCTATTAAAAAGTGGGCAAAGGACTTGAACAGAAACCTTTCTAAAGAAGACAGAATGGCCAACAAACATATGAAAAAATGCTCAACATCTCTAATCATCAGGGAAATGCAAATCAAAACCACAATGAGATATCACTTAACTCCAGTGAGAATGGCCTTTATCAAAAAGTCTCCAGACAATAAATGCTGGCGTGGATGCGGAGAGAGAGGAACACTCCTACACTGCTGGTGGGACTGCAAACTAGTTCAACCTCTGTGGAAAGCAATATGGAGATACCTTAAAGCGACACAAGTGAATCTACCATTTGATCCAGCAATCCCATTGCTGGGCATCTACCCAAAAGATCCAATGACACTCTACAAAAAAGACACCTGCACTCGAATGTTTATAGCAGCACAATTCATAATTGCAAGGCTGTGGAAACAGCCCAAGTGCCCATCAAGCCAAGAATGGATTAATAAAATGTGGTATATGTATATCATGGAGTACTATTCAGCTCTAAGAAACAACGGTGATATAGCACATCTTATATTTTCCTGGTTAGAGCTGGAACCCATACTATTAAGTGAAGTTTCCCAAGAATGGAAAAACAAGCACCACATATACTCACCAGCAAATTGGTATTAACTGAGCAGCACTTAAGTGGACACATAGGTACTACAGTAATAGGGTATTGGGCAGGTGGGAGGGGGGCGGGAGGCGAGTATATACATATATAATGAGTGAGATGTGTACCATCTGGGGGATGGTCATGCTGGAGACTCAGACTTGTGGGGGGAGGGGGGGAATGGGCATTTATTGAAACCTTAAAATCTGTACCCCCATAATATGCCGAAATAAAAAAATAAATAAATAAATAAAGCCATAGACACCATCAATCTCAGCTGGGAGGCACCAGGGTGCTGAAGAGCAAAGCTCCTTGGGAGCAGGGATTCATGACATTTCTAGACACAGAACTGGGAACATAGTGCCCCAAAATGGTTGATCAGCTGCTGGTAGTCTCATATTGACCTCTCAACCCCAATACGCCACTGGTCAAGCAAATAGGTGTGGTCCAGAATCTCTAAACCTACATCATATCACGTCTGTGTCTGCTAGCAACCAGACCAATGGGAGAAAGTGAGGATACTGCCCACCTCTGCCCCATGCCAAGGTAAGACTTCAGACGTTCCCTTTACAGCACAGATGGAGTTCAGCACTAAGCCACTGTTGCAAAGAGCACCCAGAAAGAGGCTGCACCAGCAGCACACTCAGTTTGAAAAGTCCCAGACTCTTCCTGCAGGAGTCACATCAAGAAACGCAGTCCCTAGGGCCTCTTCACACAAGCAGATGAGATGACACCCAACCATCATGCCAGTTCTAATAGGGTCTAGAGGTGTTTAATGACATCTTTCTGTCCCACGAGATACAGGAATCAGGACAACCCATGCAAAGAAAAGTATTTACCGAGGTACTCTCCAAAAAGTGTTCACTTAGTTGAGCCTATTATCATTTAACCAGCCAGTGACAACTCAGAGCAGCAGCCTTCCCCTCAGTGGGGCACTGCCATGGCCTGACCCCCACCCTGCAGTCTTCTCGCCTCAAAGAAAATGGCAAGTCTTGTTCTTCACCAGCTGCAGACCCACAGAACGAAGAGGCTGGCATTCAGGAGATGTTTTAGTTCATAGACAGAGGAATGATCTGTCCCTGCACAGCACTGAGCACTTTCACAATGAAGGAATCAAATCCTCAGATAACAATTTAAAAATGCATATGTATGTGCCTGCCAGAAAATAAACCCTTGCTAGTTGTTAGATCCAGCTCAAAAGAAGTACTTAAAATCCCTTCTGTAGATTCCTATTTCATAAGAAATCCCTGACGGAAGAAACAAAAGTTCCTCTAAAGCACAGACCTTACAGTATCACTCATAAACTTTTCAATACACATGAAACTCAGTTCACAGCAAGTGTCATCTGACTGGCTTTCTCTCCTTCGTCCCTGAACGTGTATGTATACAGGCGCATACACTGCCAGTGCGTGTGTGTATGCGCACGAACACACACACACACACACACACACACACACACACACAGCCATCAGCATGGCATGCGTGCTGAAGATTTGAGCACTTCAGTGAGAAAATGCAAACACTCTATGCCAGACCAGCCCTGCTATGACATCGAAAACCCCCACCAAAGAAAAAACACCCCGGGAAAGTAGCCAGGAAAGGGAACCGCCTCCCTGAAACAGCCTGCGAAAGGCAATCCTGATTCAGCCTATGCTGAAACTATTCCCGAACACCAGCCAGGAAGTGCCTTCCTTCAGGGTGCTCCACTGCCCAGCAAACCCAGATCTGCCTTTGCGGAAGCCAGATCTCTGGAGATTCAAGTCCTGGAAGGAGTGGGTTTGGAAAGGGGCTTCCCTGCTCTTGCTCTGCCGTTTCTGGGGATCCATCAGCGGCCAGGTCTTCCAACCCTGCCTAGCCAATGCAAACACAAAAGCTGGTGGCTGCACTGCCGGCACATTTACTTATACACACACACACACACACACAACACAACACAAACCACACTTACACATACATACCTTTCACCCTCCATTGTGTGAGGCCCAGCAGGGGTGGCAGCCGCTGAACTGTGCATGCACCGGGGGTCCTAGCTCTGCTCGCGGTTTTCCCAGCAGACTAGCGGGAGATCTGATCAGCAACAGTGATTCAGCATGGCTGCAACTGAAGCCTCCTCCCTCTCGATCCTCCTTCCTCTGACTTACTAGCGGCAGCTTCTACCGCAGAAGCAGCGGCAGCAGAAAATGTCTTACCCAGAGCTCCCTGCAGCCCTTTCAGCTGCTAAAAGCAGCAACCCACTTGCTCCCCCTCCCCCGCAGGCTTGCTGCTCCACTGTCTCCTAGGAACAGTGGCAGCTCCAGCAACCCAAGTGCAGTGCCACCTTTCCAGCTGCCTCTGCATCTGCCCAGGCATCCCCAGCCCAGGCAACTAGCCCATCCCAGGGGTTCCTGCCTCCTCTGTCTAGGCTGCAAAGAGTCGGGCAGTTCCTCACTAGCCTGAGAAATACTGGCCCCTACAGTCTCCCCTGCCCCCATAGGCTCTGAGTCCGTCAGCCTGGCCAGATTGCTGGAATGAGGAGGCCCCTCTGTGGCCTGCAGTGGAGTTTATCCACCTGAGGAAATTCACTTATGGGTCACAGTTAATGTTCTAATTCCTCCTCCCAAAATCCATAGTACCTCTGAGTGTCTGATAGATGTAGGGATGTTAAAGGGAAAAGAGCCTGACAGAGCTGAGAAGAACACAGAGAGAAATTAGAAATTATAAAAAGAGGTGGTAAAATAAGTGAAACTAAAACAAACCCTATTTTAACGCAGAGGCCAAAGTCTATTGCAGTAAAGCCATCACAATGAATACTACATACATTTATTGCCCTATGCCACACTGAAAGACCACCAATTTTATAGCACAATCCTCAGGTCTATCATATTGGAATCTGAGTTAAGCTATGTCTCCAGCTAGTAAGTTTCCCACAGAACCCCCATCTCCAGCCAAAGATCTCTCACACCCTGTAATCTCCAGCTGCTGAGTCAATTGAGACTAATTTAACTCTCCCGTCCTGGAGACCCTTTTCCAATTGCAGCCCTTTAGTCTTTCTGGGAGGCAGTGAAATCCCATGTCTTCATAAAACCTTTCCTAATGACACCAATGAATCAATCACCTCCAAAATGTCAAAGACATTGTCAGGTACAAAATGTATTGTCCTTACTGCTCATCTCACACCTAATATATTGTCTTGGGTAATTCATTATTTATATATTTCGTCTATCAGACTAAAACAAAGTATCATGGAAGGCAGGGGCCAGTCTGTGTCTCCCAGCCACAGCCAAGAGGCTTAAAGGTAACTGGGAAAATTAGCCACAAAGACTGGTTCAGAAGCTTCCCCGATGCTTCAGAAAAATCAGACATGAGTTTCTCTATTCTGGGACCTCTTAGTGTTGCACCTGAGCTTTTCAGGATCCACACTAGTACTCACTAGCTGAGTGACTT